CTCCAGTTTCTGATTTAATAGGTCTAGGGTAGGGCCTGAGATTCTTGGGTTCTAACAGGTTCTCCAATGCACCTTTGAATAGTAAGGGTCTAGACCAGTAATTGTTAAACAGAGGCAGTCATCAGATTCACCTGGAGATCCTTTGGGGAAAAAGTCAGTTTTTTAGGCCCCAAAAGTCAGAAATTTCTAATTGGAGGAGTTTTAGCGTAGGCCTGGAAATTGTTTTTGTTTTATAGTTTGTTTTGTTTTTGTTTTCAAAGATTTTATTTATTTGGTAGAGAGAGAGCAAGCAAGCACACATAGAAGCAGGGAGAGTGGCAGAGGAAGAGGGAGAAGTGGGCTCTCCATTGAGCAGGGAGCCTGATGCTGGGCTCAATCCCAGGACCCCCGGGATCACGACCTGAGATGAAGGCAAATGCTTAACTAAGCCACCCAGGCGCCTGTTTTATAGTTTTTCTCTAAGAAAGAAAATTCCTGGGCAGCCCTGGTGGCTCAGTGGTTTAGTGCCGCCTTCAGTCCAGGGCCTGATCCTGGAGACCTGGGATCGAGTCCCACGTGAGGCTCCCTGCATGGAGCCTGCTTCTCCCTCTGCCTGTCTTCTCTCTCGCTCTCGCTCTGTATCTCTCATGAATAAATAAATAAAATCTTTAAAAAAAAAGAAAATTCCTCAAGTTATTGTGATAGTCAGTTTGGGAATCTAGTCTAGAAGGTAACATGTTATAGATGCATTATCCCACAAAACCACAAAGGTATAAGTGGGTAGTTAACTTTGTTTCATTAAACATTTGAGGGGCTGTGTTGTATAGAGATCATTTGCTTAGAAGAGTGAGAAACCCACTAATGTTTATTAAAAAAGTATAGTTCAGGACGCCTGGGTGGCTCAGTGGTTTGGCACCTGCCTTCAGCCCAGGGCGTGATCCTGGAGACCCGGGATCGAGTCCTGGGTCGGGTTCCCTGCATGGAGCCTGCTTCTCTCTCTGCCTCTCTCTGTCTGTGTCTCTCATGAATAAATAAAATCTTTGAAAAAATTAAAAAATAAAAAGGGATAGTTCACAAACCCCAAGAGCAGGAAGTATCCCTGGATCTCAGCATGAAACAGAGCTAGAAACTGGAAAGCCATTAGAAACTAAAGATGTGGGCACCTGGGTGACTCAGTGGTTGAGTATCTGCCTTGGTCTTAGGGCGTGATCCCAGGGTCCCGGAATTGAGTCCTGCATCGGGCTCCCCACAGAGAGCCTGCTTCTCCCTCTGCCCATGTCTCTGTCTCTGTCTCTCTCTGTGTGTCTCTCATGAATAAATAAAATCTTCAAACAAACAAAAAACTAAGGACGTCCATACTCTCTCTCTTCTGACTGGCTTTGGTAGAAATTAGCCATCCAGACAGTTTGGTCTAGTGCCACCAAGCCAGTTTCACATTCCTGAGAGAATTTGATCAGTCCAATATAGCCTCTGGACTGCTTCTCCCTGAGCCAGGAAGCCACCTCTGGACAGTTCTCTGATCTGAAGATCTGGGCTTATATCAGACAGACACCTACTCAGCCCTCCTCTGAGTGCAGGAATGTGAGGTCCCCCTAAAATTCTTGGGCAACCTCCCTGAAAGGTGTCTTCTATAAATGCTTACTATATAGCTTTGCTTTGTTTTTGTTTCTTAAGATTTTATTTTATTTATTTATTCATGAGAGACACATGGAGAGAGGCAGAGAGAGAAGCAGGCTCCTTGCAGGGAGCCCGATGTGGAACTCTATCCCGGGACCAGGATCACGCTCTGAGCCAAAGGCAGAGGCTCAACCGCTGAGCCACTTAGGCGTCCCTAGCTTTGCATTGTTGAGGCAGAATTATAGCATAAAATAATATAAACCCCCAGCTCTTTGAATTGGGAGGGTGTTATTAGGTTACTGGGGGAGAAAGACAAAGATTTTTTTTTTTAAGATTGATTGATTGATTGATTGATTGATTGGTTTGTGAGAGACACGGAGAGAGACAGAGACACAGGCCAAGAGAGAAGCAGGCTCCTTGCAGGCAGATGCTCAACCACTGAGCCACCCAGGTGTCCCACAAGTAAAGATTTTAAAGCAGTGTGATACAGGCTTAAGTTGTGGGTAAAGAACTATCTGGGAAACTTACAACAAAAAAACTTAACCAGCCTGGAGATTTAGAGAATATTCAGAGAGCACATGTCTAAACTGAATCATGAAAGATTAAGTACATACTGGCCAAGTATAGAAAGGGTGGGGGATGTCTGGGTGGTTAAGCGCCTGCCTCCCACTCAGGTCGTGATCTCAGGGTCCTGGCATTGAGCCCTGCCTAGGGCTCCCTGCTCATTGGGGACTCTACTTCTTCCCCTCTCTCTCTGCCCCTCCCCCACCCTTCTTTTTCTTTTTCTCTGTCTCTCTTAAATAAATAAAAACCTTAAAAGAAAAAAAAAAAGAAAAGGGGAAAACATTTCTGGCATTGTGACCAGCATGAGCATGAAACAAAATAATTCTATTTCATTGAAGATTTTTGTGTGAATAATAGTTAATAAGCTGCTATTTCTAGAGCATGGTTCCGTGGCAGGATATAAAGCTAGAGAGGTTGAGGCCAGATTGAGGAGTCTTGATGCCATGATAAGGAGTTTGTTTGTTTGTTTGTTTGTTTGTTTGTTTATGAGAGACACACACAGAGGCAGAGACATAGGCAGAGGGAGGAACAGGCTCCCTGTGGGGAACCTGATGCAGGACTGGATCCCGGGACCCCAGGATCACGGCCTGAGCCTAAGGCAGATACTCAACCACTGAGCCATCCAGGCGTCCCGGGAGTTTAGATTTAAGATTTATTTGTTTATTGGGGTGCCTAGGTGATTTCATTTGGTTAAGCATCTGACTCTTGCTTTCAGCTCAAGAGGTAATCTCATGAGTTGTGGGATCCAGCCCCATGTCAGGCTCTTTGCTCAGTGGGAAGTCTGCTCGAAAGATTATCTCTGGGGCTCCTGGATGGCTCAGTCAGTTAAGCATCTGCCTTTATCTTGGGTCATGATTCCAGGGTCCTGGGATCAAGCCCTGCATCAGGGCTTCCTGTTGAGTGGGGAGTCTGCTTTTCCCTCTCCTTCTGCCCCTACTCTCTTCTGTGCGCTCTCTCTCCTCTCAAATAAATAAAAATCTTTTTTAAAAAAATTATCTCCTGGGATCCCTGGGTGGCGCAGCGGTTTGGCGCCTGCCTTTGGCCCAGGGCGCGATCCTGGAGACCCGGGATCGAATCCCATATCGGGCTCCCGGTGCATGGAGCCTGCTTCTCCCTCTGCCTGTGTCTCTGCCTCTCTCTCTCTGTGACTATCATAAAATAAAAATAAAATTAAAAAAAAAATTAAAAAAAATTATCTCCTTCTGCCCTTTCCCCTGCACATTCTGTTTCTCTCAAATTAAAAAAAAATTTTTGATTATATGTATTTTAGAGAGCACAAGCACACGAACAAGTGAGCAGGCTAGGGGTTGTGGGGAGAATCCCTAAGCAGATTCCCTGCAGACCCTGAGACCTTGGTGGGAGCTGAAATCAAGAGCCAGCCATTCAACCAACTGAGCCACCCAGGGGCCCCTAAGGATATTTCTAACTGACATTGGGAGGACTGCCATTTTTATGTAGATAACTGATACGGTATAGAGAATAGTTTCAATGGTGGCCTTGCCTGAAGCAGCAAAGACTACTTGAGTCCTCTAGAGAGGTGATGAAAAAAAGGATGAGAGGGAAGAGCCAACTGAAAGAATAGTTTCTCCTTTCATAGTCTCCTTCCTGTGCAAGCAGTAGATTACTTTATACAAAGATTTGGCATGATTTGGCTTCATCATAAGAATTGCTGAGAGAGGGATCCCTGGGTGGCGCAGTGGTTTAGCGCCGGTCTTTGGCCCAGGGCGCGATCCTGGAGACCCGGGATCGAATCCCACGTCAGGCTCCCGGTGCATGGAGCCTGCTTCTCCCTCTGCCTGTGTCTCTGCCTCTCTCTCTCTCTCTGTGACTGTCATAAATAAAAATAAAAAAAAATTAAAAAAAATTAAAAAAAAAAAAAAGAATTGCTGAGAGAATTTTAAGCTAACTTCCTAGATTAAGGTATATGAGGTTACAGATTATTTCTCTCTTGTTCATAGTCACAGTGCTAGCAGCTAGAACAGTATTTTTTTTAAGATCTTATTTATTTATTCATGAGAGACATACAGAGAGAGAGGCAGAGACACAGGCAGAGGGAGAAGCAGGCTCCATGCAAGGAGCCCGATGTGGAACTTATCCCAGGTCTCCAGGATCAGGCCTTGGGCTGAAGGCGGCGCTCAGGAGACCCAGGATCAAGTCCCGCGTCGGGCTCCCTGCATGGAGCCTGCTTCTCCTTCTGCCTGTGTGTGTGTCTGTCTTCTCTGTCTCTCATGAATAAATACAAACCAATCAATCTTATAGAGTGGAAAGGGGTTAGGTTGGAAAGGAGGTGGAGAAGAACATTTCAGTCAGAAGCAACAGTATGAACAAAGGCATGGAGGCATAGAAGAAAATGGTATATGTGTTAGAGATAACTCTTGTCATATGTCTCCGGTCACTCCAGCAAATCTAATGTTTATAGTACATTAAATAGTAGTCTTGATGGCTCTGGGAATGGTTTTGTTTCTAAGTTTCAGTGCATGGGTTGAGAATGAGATGTTTAAAGTATGTCCAAACTGGCAGAAAATCCTTAGTTGGGTTCTTTCTTTAGGTCCATAATCTAACGCTAGTCTTCTTTGAGGCTGTCTTTGAATCCCTGGTAGAATTTACTACTTGCTAATCTGTGTTTATGTAGCGTATTATGCCTGCCTCTGTTGTGTTTTCTTACTTTCATATTTCATTTGACTAATAGCCCTGACTATGCCTTTACCAATTCCCAGGGTCTGACATACAGTAGACATTAATTAATTAAAGTTTGATGGATAATTGAATGAATGGGTGCTTGTACCCAGGGTTAGCCACATGAAAGAGAACTGTCAGCTTCTGTGTCCCTTTTCTTGTAGCTGTTTGTAGTGGATGTGCAGACAAGCCAGATCACCAAGATTCCCATTCTGAAGGACCGGGAGCCTGGAGGTGTGACCCAGCAGGGCTGTGGCATCCATGCCATCGAGCTGAATCCCTCCAGAACTCTGTTAGCCACTGGAGGAGACAACCCCAACAGTCTTGCCATCTACCGGCTACCTACACTAGATCCTGTGTGTGTGGGTGATGTAAGTTTCTCCAGTAACTGTAGTTAGAGGTAGCTTTGTTCTTAAGCAGAGCCTGGTAGATAACATGGACCCTCCTCCTACACACCCTCTGGGAAGGAATAGTTTCCTCTAGATTTCTGCTGACTATCAGGGTTTGGGGGTGAGGTGTGAGGGTAGAAATGCCAGAATGGGGACTGAACTCCCCATAGGAATATTGACAGAGAGCATATGTTTGATAAAGGGGTGAGCAACATACTTCAGGGGCCCACAGCAGTGGGTTGGTGTCTACATATCTCCCACTGCCCATAGTCAGAGAGCAAAGTTTATTAAATCATTCAGCAACTATTTATTGAGCTTTCTATGTCCAGGCATTGTTTTAGATGCTGGGGACATGCAGTGAATATAACAGATAAAGCTCCCTCACCTCTTGAAGCCTGCGTTCTAGTAGAGGGAGACATATAAACCAAAATATAGACAAATAAATATTTACCACCAGTATGTCAGTGTGACAGTACCATAGAGAAGAGTAAAGGCAGATTGAAGGGACAGAGAGAGTGGTGGTGAATGCAATTTCAGAGGATGTTCAGGGAAGTCCTCACTGAAAAGAAGACATTTGAGTAGGGAGACACAGAGGAAATGAGAGTGGGTATAAGACATGTTGATGTCTGGAAGAAAAGAGTCCCAAGGACTCTTTGGGAGGGAACACCCAAGAGGTTGGGTATAGCTCTTGTACTAGGAAGTAAGCATAGAGGAGAGTGGTAGGATGGGGTTAGAGGGATAAGAGGTGGGTGATTATGTGTAGGAGCCCCAGATAAGACATCCAGAGGTAGAAGGCCAGAGCTGTGTGTCTACCAAACATGTTCATTGCCCATAGGAATGCCAGTTTCATTACAACTTTGAGCTCCTCAAGACAAAGTTAAAAATTACGGGATCCTGCCCTCTGGGTTGAGATAATCAGAGATAGGAATTGTAATTTTTACAAAGATATTTTCAGTCAGACTATGCTTTTCAAGAGTGTGTGTTGTAATCCTTTTTTACTAATTTCTTTTTTTCCCCTCTCTCTTTGTACCTGTCACTCCTTCTCTCCAAGGATGGACACAAGGACTGGATCTTTTCCATAGCATGGATCAGTGATACTATGGCGGTGTCTGGTAAAATTGACCTTTTGTATGGAGTTTTGGTGTGGCAGGGAGGAAGGGGTAGTAGTGTGATTGGAAATAGTCCAGTAAATAGACCATTGGCCAGGGACGAGGATCTTATTACCAGTATTGGCTCTTTGACATACTGTGTGTCCTCGGATAAATCATAAGAGTTACCAGCATTCTACATTTATTCACTCAGCCTTGTTCCCAAAAGTATGTGTGACAGTGTGTTAACCTCAATGTTTTTGTGGGGCTTCATTTTGACAATGTTGTGAAAGTGTTTTGGAATAGTTGATGTGAAATATTAGGAGTAGTTATTTTCTTTACAGCTATATAGTGTGTTTCTTGTTGATAACAGCTGTGTAGGATTGAGGGGATTTCTTTCCCAGTGGTAGACATCAGAAAAAAAAAATGGAAATGAGTGTAGAGAGGGTAACCTAGAGATACACAATACAATTCCCCAGGTCTAGATTCCCAAATAAAAATAATCATAATAGTAACTAAATTGAATGCCTCACGTGTTATTTCATACAATCCTCAGAACAGTACTAAAAGATTAGCATTATTAGCCTCATTTCTCAAATCAGAAAATTTAAATTCTGAGAGGTTATAATAACTTAGCAGAGGCCACACAAATAGTAACAGGTGGAATCAGGATCTGAATCCACATCCACATGTGATTTCAAAGCCTGTGCTTAGAACTGCTCCTAACAGGGGCCCCTGGCTGGCTCACTCAGAAGAGCATATGACTCTGAACTTGGTGCCATGAGTTCAAGCCCCACATTGGGTGTAGAGATTACTTAAATAAATGAAACTTAAAAACCAACATCTACTCCAACCGATATTGCACTGTATGTCAACTAACAAAATTTAAATAAAAGAACTAATAAAGCTAAGGGAACATAAATATTTCTTCTTTCAATTCTTTGCAGGGCAGTAGAAAGCAGCCAAGAGGGAAAATAAATTTAATGAACAAACATAATCACAGGTCAGAATTACCCAGAAGGGGTTCAGAAGCTATTGGATTCCCTGTCATTTGTCTCCCCAAAGAGTGAGAGCTGTTTAAGGGTAGTCTTGTCACCTTTATATAATAGGGATTGCTTCTATGACAGTAACCTGTACTAAATGTGATTGTTGGGAGCAAGGGTTTGGCTTGCTTTGGGAGCCTCCCATCTTCTTCAGATACCCTACCAACATCTGTGTTTTCAGGCTGATAACTCCCATGTCTACATTTTCTTTTTTCTTTTTTATTTTAACCACGTCTACATTTTCTGAACAGTTTAGCAGATTTTAAGAACGTGGGCTTTGATATTAGAGGTTTGAGTTTGAATCCTCATCCAACCACTTATCACTGAGAATGTCCAGGGGTTGGTACTCATCATTAAGTCTGAACATTAACATCACTTGGGCAAGTTACCCTAAGCTTTTTAAGACTTGATTTTCTTCATCTGTAACATGGATACTTCAGAGTTTCACTGAGAAGATTAAATGAAATAATGCATAGTGGCTGCTGTATTAAAAATGCTTAATGCTTAGTGGCGCCAGGGTGGCTCAGTCAGTTAATTTTTTTTTTTTTAAGATTTTATTTATTCACGAGACACACAGAGAGACGGTGGCCGAAACATAGGCAGAGAGAGAAGCAGAGAAGCAGGCTCCCTGCTGGTAGCCTGATGCAGGACTCCATCTCAGGACCCCAGCATCATGACCTGAGCCAAAGGCAGATGTTCAACCACTGAACCACATAGGTGCCCAAATGTCCAGCTCTTGATTTTTGTCTCGGGTCATGATCTCGGGGTTGTGAGATTGAGCCTCATATTGGGCCCTATGCTGAGCGTGGAGCCTGCTTATGATTTTCTCTCTGCCCCTCCTCCCCCTAAAAAAAAGAAAATGCTCAATACTTGTTAACCGATGTTAATGTTATACTTAATGATGAGTACCAACCCCTGAATATTCTACCTCAGACTCAGTATATTCATACTCATCATTTTTCTTCCAAGACCCTCTCCCCCATTGGCATATATTTCTGAATGCTTCTACCTTCCACACAGGTGCATGGTCAGAAAACTAAGACTCCTCTTAGGATCTTATCTCCTTAGATTACCAAGCCATGTTGATACTGTTTTCTAAAATATCTCTTGTAAACATTGTATGTTACCTATACTTTAGTAATTAAAACAAAACAACCATCTTAGATACAATTTCTTTCTTTCTTTTTTTTCTTAAAGATTTTATTTATTCATGAGACACACAGGCAGAGGGAGAAACAGGCTCCATGCAGGGAGTCTGATGTGGGACTCAATCCTGGGACTCTAGGATCACGCCCTGGGCTGAAGGCAGGCGTGCTAAACTGCTGAGCCACCCAGGGATGCCCTATAATTTCTTTTCTATCCTGCTGGTGTACTTATCATCTATATCTTGAATAACCCCTAATATCCTTCCATATTTTTTCTCTGCTTCTGTTCTTGTCTTCTCCAATCCAATCTTTTTTGTTTTTTAAGATTTTATTTATTTGACACGGAAATAGAGCACAAACAGTGGGAGTGGCAGGCAGAGGGAGGGGGGAAAAGCATGCTTCCCACTAAGCAGGGAACCCAATGCAGGGCTCAATCCCAGAATCCTGGGATTGAGAACCTGCACCAAAGACAGATGCTTAACTGAGCCACCTAGGCACCCCTTCTCCAATCGAGTCCTCATGATGCTGCCAAACTCGTTCTTTAAATAATTTTTTCCTTATTAAAGAAATATGTGTTTATCATAAGAAATTTTTTAATATGGATTAAAAAGGCAGTAATAATTATCACTCTCTCTATCCAGGGACAACTACTGTTAATATTTTTTTTTAATTTTTATTTATTTATGATAGTCACAGAGAGAGAGAGAGAGAGAGGCAGAGACACAGGCAGAGGGAGAAACAGGCTCCACGCACCGGGAGCCCGATGTGGGACTCGATCACGGGTCTCCAGGATCGTGCCCTGGGCCAAAGGCAGGCGCCAAACCGCTGCACCACCCAGGGATCCCAACTACTGTTAATATTTTAAAATATATCTTAACAGTCATTATTCAGTGCATATCTTTTTATTTGGTTAAAATGGGATCATACAAAGGGATGAATATATAGATAAATATACCACATATAATAAAATGTTGATGGTAGACTATACTTGTAATTGAACAGTTCATTATAAAACTCAGTATTTTAAAAAAATAAAATAAAATAAAACTCAGTATTTCAGTGTGCTTGAATTTTTCACAATAAAACTTGTATAGTTTTATTTTTTTAATTTGCATAATAAACCAAGCATAGTTCTATCTCCAGGTGTGTCCTTCTCTCTGGCCTTTTCTACATTTCACATGTAATAAAACCTCTGCTTTGAATCTCTGCCCATAAGCCTTATGAAGCCAACAAATTAGATGATATTTCTCTCAAGTTAGATAATTTTTATTATGAAGCATTCAGGAGATTTGCAATGTGGAAAGGGTACCTTTTAGTCTAAAGGAGAGTTGTCAAATAACTTTACTAGAAAGGATTTTTTCAATTTTTAAAAAATTATTATGTTTATTTTTAAGTAGGCTCCGTGCCCAGCCTGGAGCCCAACATGGGGCTTGAACTCATGACCCTGAGATCAAGAGTGGCATGCTGTACCAACTGAGCCAGCCAGGTGCCCCAAACATGGGAATTATGGTCCCTGTGGGTCCATGGAAAGCCTTCAAGAGGTTCATGGACCTCCTTGAAATTGTACAATGTGGTGTTTTGGGTATTTTTCTAGATAAAGGAGTCTTTAACATTCCTAGGTCTGTTAGAGGCATGTAAGAGTCAAAAAAGATTAAGCACCACTGATTTAAGGTAGAGGTTCCCCAACGCTACTGCCCAGCAGACATCACCTGTGCATGCATGCCCAAGTGATCTAAGCATTTGACTTGGAAAATTACTGAGCATTCTCAAACTATATAATGCTCTCTTAAAAAAAAATATCACCAGGACGCCTGGGTGGCTCAGCAGTTGAGTGTCTGCCTTTGGCTTAGGGTGTGATGCCAGAGTTCCTTGATTGAGTGCCACATCGTGCTCCCTGCATGGAGCCTGCTTCTCCCTCTGCCTGTGTCTCTGCCTCTCTCTCTCTCTCTCTGTCTTTCTCTCTCTCTCTGTCTCTCGTGAATAAATAAAATCTTAAAATTTAAATTAAAAAAACTCACCAAAGATTAAACATTACATTTAACTCCTACATTTTAGTTGAATCATCCTCTTGATGTAGCTATTAATATATATTGTTCTTTTTGTAGTGGGGCACCTGACCAAGTTCAGCACATATGAGGAGAGTGCACAAAGAGCTAGACTAAGAAAGTACATCTTGGTTTCTGTAGGACTGTCCCATAGAGAGTTGGGTATGTCTGACATCTGTGGTCTCTCCTTGCCCTGTAGGCTCACGGGATGGCTCTATGGGACTCTGGGAGGTGACAGACGATGTGTTGACCAAAAGTGATGCAAGGCACAATGTATCACGGGTCCCTGTGTACGCTCACATCACTCACAAGGCCTTAAAGGACATTCCCAAGGAGGACACAAACCCTGACAACTGCAAGGTCCGGGCTTTGGCCTTCAACAACAAGAACAAGGTATGAGGTCGCCAAAGAGGAAGGCTGTTTCTCTTGCTTCAACTTCTTGGCTTATATCTTGGCACTTTGCTTCTCTTCCCAAGTCAGTTCTTGCTACATAGTTTAGTTCTGAGCCCATGGAAGATTGAAGGCTGAGGGTTGCTGGTGAGAAATAATAACTGAGATTGTGAAACCCAGCCCTTGCATTGAGTTGTGCAGTATTTCTCTGGAGGGTCTGTATTTGTGGTTCAACCTCTCAGAGTTACCTCAGAGCCACCTGTTTTTTACTATCTCTCATTTGCACATGCCTTTGGGCTGGTGCACTATTTTGTGTGGTGTGTGATGTGGTGGTGGATCTAAAATCCCCTCCAAATAATGATTGGCTTTTGTGGTCGAGTTGGGGGTGAGTGTTGATTTCTTTGTTATTCTATCAAGGCACTTCTGCGTAAACACTGCCATGCAGAAGTCTTAACCTAATCATGGGTCATTATACGGTAAACTTGGGGGGGTCTTTTTTGGATGAGTGGGGGTGGGGGAGAAGATTAAAAATTTGTTGAAGAAATGATCCCAATAATCTTCATATGGGAATAGTTTTAGTTTGGTGAAGTTTAGTAGACTATCGCGATGGAAATTGTTTGTAGGTGTGTGTGTTTGTGTGAAAGAATCGAAGTGTAGATATTAAGGGATGGTTGTTATAGAGAAGGAATGATTGGGGAGAGTATGGTTAGTTAAATTGGTGTATGGATGGTTGATTTGGTTTAGTGGTTATTGGGGGTATGGTAGGAGTGAGAAGAGAGGAGGTGGAGAAATTTTATAAGGTGGTTGTGGGGTTGTTTGAGGATAAGGGTATAAGGAATGGAAGGTTGGTGAGGGAAATGGGGAGGAGAAATTTGAGAGAAATGGATGGAAAGGATGGAAGATAGGAGGAATAGAAGGTAAGTAGGAATAAGATTATAGATATAGAAGATATATATAAGAGAGTATGATTGAATTAATTTAAAATAAATAAAATTTTTATAAAATAATGGTTTAATAATAATTAGCTGTCCAGCTACATTTTAGAGTAAGATGATGGGCTGACAATCCCTGGCTCCCCTCCCGGAATCATCATGGGTTAAGAATGAAGAATGGAAGGACCCCAACCTTCAGGGTCTTTCCCTGCTTATTACCATATATTAGTTGCTAGCTATTGAAATATAACCTGTTTTTCATTGCTCTTGTAGGAACTGGGAGCAGTATCTCTGGATGGTTATTTCCATCTCTGGAAGGCTGAAAATACACTGTCTAAGGTGTGATAAACATGACTCAATGATTTTACCTAAAAATTCACCTTTTGGTTAAATTTGGTTAAAATACTTTCATTCTTCCTGAGCCTTTTCGTTCTTGTCTAAAACACCAGTTTCAGGGCACCTGGGTGGCTCAGTGGTTGAGCGTCTGTGGTCAGCTCAGGTCATGATCCAGGGTCCTAGGATCAGGTCCTGTATCAGGCTTCCCTCAGGGAACCTGCTTCTCCCTCTGCCTATGTCTCTGCCTCTCTGTGTCTCTCATGAATAAATAATAATAATAAGTAAATAAATAAAGTCTTTAAAATAAATAAAAATAAATAATAAACCACTGGTTTCCACTGGGCATGTTACTGCACAGTGCATGGAACCCTGAGTCTGACATACCTCTCAAGACTTTTCAAGAGATCGGAGGGGGACATTTTTTCACATTGCAAAGGACTTACTGAGAGACTCCTTTAACTAGCAGTCCTCTAGTCAAGGCTTTTAAGTATCTGCTTATGGAGATGCCTGGGTGGCTCAGTTGGTTAAGCGTTTGCCTTTGGCTCAAGTCATGATCTCAGAGTCCTGGGATTGAGTCCCTCATTGAGCTCCCTACTCCTTGGGGAGCCTGCTTCTCCTCTCCCTCTGTTTGCCACTCCCTCTGCTTGTTCTTGCTCTCTGTCAAATCAGTTAATGAATTAATTAGATAGATTAGATAGATAGATAGATAAATAGTATTTGCTTATGGATTATTGACCATTTGGCATGTTGTAAGGGCAGGAGAACCTAAAGGTTAGAAATGACTGGCAAATCAAAAAAAGAAAAGAAAAGAAATGACTGGCAACTAAAAATCAATTAAACTAAGATAAACAATCTCTGAAATAATAGGTAATGAGAATACTTACAATCCTTACAAGCAATTTTTGCATAAAGTCAAACCTACCTCTGGGTTCCTCTTTTTGTCCCAGAAGCTTTTACTGCTTATTACTTCTGTGATAGACTCTTTCCCAAGAGGAAGCAGAGTTTCAGGAATTATGACTCATTCATGTCATAGCAGCCTTTGAGCTCCACTGACCTTGCTTCATGCCTGCCTTACATGCGGTAGGCATTCACTGAAGATTGGCTAAATGACAAGGATCCAGGATTAAGGCTGAGTGATATTAGCTGAGGTTGAGCCAGTTTCATGGGTGTGTTTTTTGTAGTGTATAATTCCTGTACAACTGGGGAGCTAGGCTGAGAATAGCCAGAAAATCGGGGAGGAGGGTGGTAGCAGAGAGGGTCATGGCAGAGAACAAGAGTGTGACCTTAGCTTCCTGCCCTGGGATTATCCTTGGAAATAACCTGCCGATGTAGGCCTTTCTGTTTCTGATTATTTAATTTCAGTTTAATCTTTTTTCCTAATCAGTCCTCTTCAGTATTGAGATCTTATTACTTACTATAATCACCCTCTCTTTTCTTATTTACTTAGTAGTAGAACAGGGCTTTATTTCCTTAATCAGGGCTTGTCTTTTTGTCTCTGACTTTGTGTGGCTTGTGTATGAAGGAAGCCCACAAAATTGGGCATCTAAGAACCTTGCCCTATGGTATGCTCTCTGGTAGTGCTATGGGTGCATCACTCCTTTCTCTGTTTCAGCTCCTGTCCACCAAACTACCATATTGCCGTGAGAATGTGTGCCTGGCCTATGGTAGTGAATGGTCAGTATATGCAGTGGGCTCCCAAGCTCATGTCTCCTTCCTGGATCCACGGCAGCCATCATACAATGTCAAATCTGTTTGCTCCAGGGAGCGAGGCAGTGGTAAGAGTCCCATATGCCCCTGAGGCTTATAGCTGCATTGCAAGTGGCTTTGATTTTCAGTTTCTATGTTGGTTTCAAAACAAGTGTAGTGATATTTATGGAACTTGGTGAAGGTGTTTAGTGACATAAGAAGGGAGGTTAATTAAAAATCTGCAAATGGCAACAGAGCTTCAAGCACCACAGGCAAATTTGTGGCCACAGAAACTGTTAGTGGAAACCCAATAGTTAGGATTTTGATGGTTTTCATATTCTTTTCACAGATCTTGACTTCCCTCTGGTAGTTTTTTACTGGTGCCCTGTCTGAACTATAAAATTCATTTTATGCTAAAGGATGATGTGCAATGAGGAGTTTACCAAGAGCATGAGGAAACTTGAGAATGATGGGTATATTCGTTACTTTGATTGTAGTGTAGTGTCATGGGTTTATATATATGTTAAAACTTAAAATTGTATACTTTAAATATGTACAGTATATTGTTTGTCAATTATACCTCAGTATAAAGCTAAAGAAAATACTGTTCTGACCACTGGGTGAATTCAGCTTCAACCTCCAATCTTTTATAACATATTTTCTCCAAGAGCACTCTTTCATTATCAAGGAATAAAAAGACTTATGTTTGTACTATAAGATTTCAAAGTACCTTTATCCGCCATCTTATTTCATCTTACCCAGAACCCCATAGGAAGCAGGTAGGGAAAGGTAAGGTTAGTGTTAATCCTATTTTATAGATGAGGAGACTGAAACCCAGAGCAGTTAAGTAACATGCTCAAATCACACAGATTGGTGGAAGAATAGCCATGCACTAGAACTGAGGTCATTCAAATTAACAGTGTATTTTCTTCATCTCTCTGTTCCCCTTCTCGTGCAAAAATGTGGGTACATTATCTTGGAGTCTAAAAGGCACAATATGGATTACAATTTAGCCTCTCTCAAGTAGTGTTTATTTTCATGCAAATAACACAAAAGTGACTTTTGTTTTGGGGGTTTGTTTTCGATTATAGTGAAGACACTCATGTTTCAGAGCAGAAAGAATAATGTGTGCAGTGAGAGTTGTAAGGGGAAGAATAAATAGGCTTGGCTGGAATAATGTCTGCAATGAAAAGCTTTAAGAGGGGCACCTGGCTGGCTCAGTCAGTGTAGCATGTGATTCTTGTCTTGAGATTTTGAGCTCCACATTAGATAGAGAGATTACTTTAAAAATTAAAAAAAAAAGAAATCTTAAAAAATTAAATTAAAAAATATGTATTTGTGTGTGGAGCCCAACGCAGGGCCTGAACTTAGAACCCTGAGCTCAGGACCTGAGCTAAGATCAAGAATCCAACACTTAACCGACTGAGCTATCGAGGCACGCCTCTAAATATAAAATCTTTAAAAAAAAAAAAAAAAGGCTTCAAGAGATTTGGTTACTATTACAGGAGTAGCTATCATGCCTAATAAGGAAATACTGATTCCACAGGTATTGCTGAGCACCTCTTATATGCCAAGAGACATCTTGTATCCCATGCCCTTACTTATCCACAGATGCAATACCAGATAAAAGACCTCTTGCAGTGCTGTGGTAGTAGTTTTAGGTCAGATAGGAAAAAGTCCTTATTAATATAATGATTTGTAAATAATGCAGGTTACCGTTTCAGTACAAGTTGGAAATACACTTAGGGAGAGTTTAGAGTTATGAAAGATGCCTCCACGATGAGTCAAGAGTAGGGGGCCAGGGAGGTTTGGGCACACTTAAGGTCTTAGGCCAAAGGCATCTTAGACCTCATCAGGCTTCTGGCACTTCTCTAAGGCTTATGGGAGGGTTCCTTTTAGTGTATGAATGGGCATTGTGAGACCAGGGTTCTCAAGCTTTCACATGAGCTATCTGTGCCGTATATCCCTGGGAAAGGCACTGTCTGGTAGATCGAGGTGCCATGTGAGTTCAGTGCCAGAGAAATTCAGGTAGCAGACCATCAATGTGTACTCTTCCCCTATTCATTGCCCTTTATTTTTCTCTCTCTCAGGGATCCGGTCAGTGAGCTTTTATGAGCACATCATCACTGTGGGCACAGGGCAGGGCTCCCTGCTGTTCTATGACATCCGAGCTCAGAGATTCCTGGAAGAGAGGCTCTCAGCTTGTTATGGGTCCAAGCCCAGACTTGCAGGGGAGAATCTGAAACTAACCACTGGCAAAGGCTGGCTGGTGAGTAAGCCCCTGCCTGACACAGTTACTGAACAGAGAAGAAAAATTATGTTCAGTCTGCCCACCTACTCCCACCCCCACTGATACACCAGCTTCTCACATACTCCTTAGAGCAGAGAAAGGCACTTTCCCTTGATTTTGCTCTGTGTCTACATATCCATGGGAAAACTGAGGCTCAGTAAGACACACTAGTTGACTGTAGGTGATAATAGAGCTAGAAGGAGAAGGAACCCCCTCCCCCTCCTACTGTGGCTGCCATTGAATTACTAAAGAGTGGTTCTAGCTTTCCTGAGACCTTAGGTTTGTATAGCAGTTCTTCAGCCTGCTCAGTTCCTCCCTAATATTCATTTGGAAAAATGAGGCTCCAATTCCTATGAGTACCAGTCAGAGTCTCTTGACATCAGATTAGATGCAGGACCCTCTCCTCTTAAGACCAGAAGGCATTCCTGTCCCTTCCTGCCTCCTTTTCTACCCCATGGCCTAGAGGTACTAACAGAGTCTCTTATTCTTCCCATAGAATCATGATGAAACTTGGAGGAATTACTTTTCGGACATTGATTTCTTCCCCAATGCTGTTTACACCCACTGCTACGACTCGTCCGGAACGAAACTCTTTGTGGCAGGAGGCCCCCTCCCTTCAGGGCTCCATGGAAACTATGCTGGACTCTGGAGTTAATGACAACTAATTCTCCCAAAATGCAGAGATTTACACTAATTTCAATCCTTAGTTTTCTTGTTTTTTTTTTCTATTTTCTTCCAATTGTGTGAGGCCCTCATTTTAATGGGAACACGAGAGTTTGCCTATGATTTAGGCACTTGACAGGAAGCTCTGTACAGATATCTGAAGTGTTTTTTATTGTTGGGGTTTTTTTTTTTTTTCCTTTTTTTGCTTTCGGTAATCAGAATTTTTTTTTTTTTTTTTTTTTTTTTTTTTTTTTTATTTATTTATGACAGTCACAGAGAGAGAAGGAGAGAGAGGCAGAGACACAGGCAGATGGAGAAGCAGGCTCCATGCACCGGGAGCCCGACGTGGGATTCGATCCCGGGTCTCCAGGATCGCGCCCTGGGCCAAAGGCAGGCGCCAAACCGCTGCGCCACCCAGGGATCCCCGGTAATCAGAATTTTACTGTCTTTTTTTCTTTCTGGCTTCTCAACCAAACATTGTTAATTCTTATTTGTATTTTTTTCTTTAAGTGACACACACTCTCCCCTCTCACTTCTTTAGGCTGGCGTAGTCATTCTCACCCTTACTTCACTCTTGAGAGGTAGGGCTCCTTTATAATTATGTGGTTGCTGTCAGACTTTCTGTGAAAGTTTGGGGGCTGTGTGTTTGTGTGTGTTTGTGTGTGTGAGAAAGAGAGAACTTGTGTGCTTGCAAATACTGTGTGTCACTGAAATTACCTGGAGTAAGAATTACTTGTAATTAAAATATTTATAAAAAAAAGACAAACAATTTTATTCACAGAGACAGCTTTGGGACTAGTCTTTACTTGTTTTTTAAAGTTTAACAGCACTGATAATAGGAAGTAAAAACAGAAAAAAACAATCACCACCAGGAAAACCCTTTGAGTTAGATTGCAGGCTTCCTGGTGACACTCACACCAGGACTCCAGAGTGATCCGTTCCCTACCTAACTTCCCAACTTTGTGTTCCCAGGTGAGAATACTTCTGTGTGTCATTTCCACTTTAACTTCCCATCTGCTTAGCCAGTGGCCACTCCCCTAAAACATCAGGGTCTCCATCCAGATGCAGTTCTGGAGGCTGCAGAAGGCTTGGTAGAATTTGGTAAAGATAATCCCCATCCCAGCCTTCCTTTACCTTCCCTCAAACAAGACCTGATCTGGTATCTCAGGGGCCTGGAACAGGGGGCCTTAAGTTTGCTAAGTAAGATTCACATACTCAGTCCCCTTGGTTTTGGAGAGAAACTTCTCCTTTGCCTTTCTTCTAATCTCCTCAATGGGTTTTGCTTTTCTTTTCTAAATTGGGTTCAGCCCAGGAGGGTGGGGGTAAGCAGAGGGTTTATCTGTGTGTAGTGAGTGCTTCATGTGTGGAATGTTCATTTTTTTTATTACAGTGGGGCTGGAGTTGAAGCCACCTCTCCCACTCTGTTGGCTCAGCCCTGGGATGGTGGTGGGTGGCCTATAGCCAGCAACGTTGTGCATGTAAAAGCATTGATGTGACTAGTAATTTGTTCCTCCCTTGAACTGTGTTTAGTCTGAAGTTTTGAAACTTGCAGGCAACTGACCATGATGTCCAGTTATTCCTTGCTTTTTACGCATCATGTTGCAGATAGCAGCTGTTCCCACCCACAAATTCCTCCTCCATTCTAAGCACATACTCTTCTTCTGTCAACAGTCCATCCTGGGGAAAGGAAAAGTCTTATTTATTCCTGCACTCTAGTTTCTAATTTGCTCTCCCAGTTATCCCCCTCTGCTCTGGGTCTCAATGGGGAGATTGAAAAAAAGAGTGCCTTCTCCTTGGTAATGGGGGCTGGTGGGGAAGGGAGACAGCAAGTCTACCCTACCTTGGTGATACATCAGGTGCACACCACAGGTTCTAGAATTCTCATCTTCTAACCTAGATAAATAGGTGCTATAAACAGGGAATTAAGTAAAATGCTGGATACTTAGATCTTTTAATTGTCTTAATTTTTTTTCTATTATTAAACTACAGGCTGTAGATTTCTTAGTTCTCACAGAACTTCTATCATTTTAAACCAACTTGTATATTTAAAAAAAAAGATCTTAAGTAGGATGTTTTGTACTGTTGCCAGACCCTCTTCTGTGATGGGTAATATGTTTGATTGTTTGAAATTTTGTTTTTAAAAATGTAGCACTTGACTTTTTGCCAAGTAAAAAAAATAAATATTATTCCAGTTGCAAAGTGGTTTGACTGAGTATGTATAGCCAAGAAGCAGCAGGAAAAGGGCCCCAAATGACTGGTTGGAAGGTTACCTTGGGGCGGCTAGGATTCTTGGAGCAGAAGAGGAACACAAGAGTTCCCTGAAAATTAGAGACTGATCAGGTGCAAACATACAAACTCTTAAGACCTGCTTGCTCCTTCTCCTGCTCATGCTCTCTCGCTCTCTCAAATAAATAAAAAATGTAAAAGGATTTTGAGAGCAAGAGTACAAACCTGGGGAGTGGCAGAGGGAGAGGGAGAAGCAGACTCCCCATCAAGCAGGGAGCCAGAGGTGGGGCTCCATCCCAGGACACTGGAATCGTGACCTGAGTCACCCAGGTGCCCCATAAAATAGTTAAATATATATATTTGTGAAGGAAACCATGACCATAGGGAGCGATGCTCTTTCCAGGGCTTGTTTGAGGCCATAGCTGAGAGACAGGAAGACTGCTGAATCATACCACCTTCCTCATAGCCAGTTCTGGGAGGCCTATGAGGGCTGGGCCACAGAGCCAGGCAAGGCACTATATTCCTCTGTCACATGGTACTTGTTCCTTTTTAGGCAAGTGAGATACAGCTGCCCTTTGCACCTGCCTTAGAAACTGACTAGTTGAGAATGATTGATAGAGGTAACTACCTGTATGATCAGAGGCCACAAAACAGGAAGGGGAAAGTGAGTTGGTTGAAGTAATTGAGAGGGCTTCCTAAGAAGAGCCTTTACCAAAATGAGGTTTTTAGAATACCCAATCTGATGGGTGTTTGCAGAATGCACCATGGTCAAATTCTGGGAAATGCAAATTTAAACAAAGACATGCTTCTTTACTTCCCAACCTCAAGATTTGGTTACTATAGGACTCGTGTTCATAAAACATGCTCAGAGGAAGGTGACGGGATATGGGGGGGACCTGGCCTAGGCCGCTGGCCTCCATGGAATCTTGGCCCTGCTCCTGTTTTCCAGCCAGACTGCAGCAAAGTATGTATCTCACAGAAAAGCTTTGTGGACTTTATAGGGTCCCTCCCTTTCCTGCCAGCAGTCCCTATTCCCAGGCCATGAAAGAATTTCCTTGTTCTCCCTCAGGCCACATTCGTCATCCCAAATGGTCTACTGGCTCCTCCCATCATATTTTGGGTTATTTTGCAGAAGGCTTTGGAAACTAATTTATCCTCTGGGTTCCTTGCCCTTGCCACTCCAAGAGTTGATTAGTATTAATCTGGCTTTCAGCATTTGTTTTATTTTTTTTAAGATTTTTTTATTTATTTATTCGTTAGAGACAGAGAGAGAGAGGCAGAGACAAAGGAAGAGGGAGAACCAGGCTCCATGCAAGGAGCCCGACGCTGAACTTGATCCCGGGACTCCAGGATCATGCCCTGGGCCAAAGGCAGACACCAAACCTCTGAGCCACCCAGGGATCCCCTGTTTGTTTGTTTTAAAAGATTTTATTTATTTATGAGACACATAAGAGACAGAGACATAGGCAGAGGGAGAAGCAGGCTCCTCAAGGGGAGCATGATGGGGGACTCGATCCCAGGACTCCAAAGGCAGACACTCAATCACTGAGCCACCCAGGTGTCCCATGGCCTTCAGTGTATCTAATAAAGACTCCCAATTTAGGCTTCTCTGATGTAGTTGCCACCCAGAAAATAACAAGTCAGGGTGTGTCAAGACCCTTGCTTACCATTGGGGTCAATTGTAAGAGTCAGTCTATGACCCAAGTGTTTTTTCCTTCTTTAAATTGGCTGATGAGGGGCAGCCCCGGTGGCTCAGCGGTTTAGCGCCGCCTGCAGCCCAGGGCGTGATCCTGGAGACACTGGATGGAGTCCCACGTCAGGCTCTCTGCATGGTGCCTGCTTCTCCCTCTGCCTGTGTCTCTGCCTCTCTCTCTCTCTGCATCTCTATGAATAAATAAATAAAATCTTTAAAAAAAAAAATTGGCTGATGTCTGAGAGTGAACAATGAATGGCAGTTGGGAAGGAATCATTCAATTTACTTGTTATTAGCCACATCTCATTTCATGCTTATGTGCTGAGACAGCTTAAAGCTTTGGAAGGGTAGAAACATAGGCTAAGTCTAGAACCACCAATGAAGACAAAGTTTGGATTCCTTAGCTTGGTTCTTCTTCTCTTCAGCTCCTCCAAGCTATAATCCAGAGAAACAAATGTGAGAAGTTTGTTTCTATGCTACCACTAGAGAGAGGTGTGAACTGAGCCGCTCAAGATGGGGTTGTAAGCTCTTTTATGATTCAGCTCTCCAAGACAGGACTGTGAGCTGTCCTCTCAAATTCCTGCTGGGTTGAGACTCTGAACACTTCTCTTGATTAGTGTGTAATTGCTGAAGTCAGAATTTTTTAAAGGATAATAATACTCATTAATTGAGTTCAGAGTCACATGTTTACTGTATTTCTTGTTAAGCACCATTCAGAGCTGTAATTAACATCCCTAGTTCCATGGACAGGAAGAAAACAAATGATCAACTTCTGTTTAAAGAAAATAAACTTACCTCAACTTGTAGCTACTTTTTTTCTTAACTGATGGCAGCCTGAACGGAGGACTGGAAATAATAATGAGGCTCCAGGGTCAAGGCCATTTGCTTATTGCAGATAATTCTGTGCTGGCTGGGTACCATGACCCGAGGTGTGCTAATAATGTACTGCTTATATAAGGAACATCCTTCATCTTCACTACCACCACACACGCTGCTCCTTTAGGTTCTTTTGCTAAAAACACAAAATTATTGCCCCAACCACCATGCTAACTTTTCCATCATTAGATCTGTTTTCTGCCTGGGGTAGAGTAGTATTCTATCACTGATTAGAGATACTGCTGGTATTCCTATTCCCGGAAGGGGGATACAGGTCACTCCCAGGTGATGAGCAACAACTCAGAGTAAGTGGGGACCAAAAGGAGAGGATATGGGTTCTTTTCTAGTTCTACTGCAACTGCTTGTGGCCATGACTTTGAACAAGTCTTTATCCCTCTTTAGATTGTTTTTTTTCATCTTCTACGATTAGGAGTTCAGATT